TAAATGTGGAAAGCTGAGGAGGGGCTGGGAAGGTGGGAATCATTGAATAAGAAAGGGAAAGGGCAGTTTAAACTGAATAGAAGTAGTGAAGTGAGGTTTTCCATTTCTCCTTTTTTAAGTTAATGCTTTTACTATTGTATTATGAATGAAGCTCCCTTCTGCTCATTTCTTCTCTGGTCTGCTTGTCTTGCAGTCCTTTTTCTGCATTGTGTAACCCTTACATTTTATTCTTCATCATGGTGAATGAAGAATACCTTCAGTTTTATAGTGGGTCTAGTTTTGGTTTGCCAACATGGGCTTTAAGAGATGTAAGTTTAATTCTGTGAAGGTGAAAATATGTGCCTGTCTGAAGCCTGTCTTTGGGTGAATGCTTTAAGGAGTAGGTAGCAGTGTATATTCAAGTACAGCTCAAGACCCTAAATATATGTAGTCTGAGGTAGAGCCATGACTGTGGTTTCTGACTTCTAGAGAGTAGGAGGAATTTGGGTTTATCTTCTTGCTCGGTGTGTCTTGCACAGCTTCTTGTTCAGCTTGTGGGGTGTCTTAATTGTCTGGAAAACACTCAAGTCTCTGTGGTTGTGGTATATGAAGCATCTAACTGCAGCAATCCCAATCACCCTGCAGGAGCCATGCAGCTAGTCTGTAAATGTAAGAGATGGCTACGATTTTGTATCTCTAGCTCAGTCTGAAGTAAATTCATGCAATTGGAATGGAGCATGATTTTGGAGTCTGGGGAAAAAGAAAAATCCAAACCCAAAAAGCAAAGCAAACCCGACCCTCAAGAAAACAAATTAAAAACCAAAACCAAACAAACAAAAAACCCTGAAGAAACATACACTCAATCATCGCATATACTCAATCATCAGTCCTACATGTATGCATGAGTAACCCCAGTGACCTCACAGAGCTGCCCTCCACATGCAAAGAGCAGGTCGCCAGGTAACAGCACCTAGTGGAATCAGTCTGAGTGTGGCAGGACTCTGTTCAACCCCGTACTGAAACTTGACTCCCCCAGTTCCAGTAAAATGCATAAAAGCAAGAGTAACTAATGAATATTATTAAACAAACACATCTGGAAGAAAATGCATGAGAGTGTTCTAATTATAGGTCTTTGGAGACTACTTTTGTATGAGTTTATATGTATTTCTGAGTTACCTCAAGGCATGTCTACTGCACAGTGCAAGTGAAATGGACGTGAATGAAGTAAGTTAACTCTAAATGAGCTAGTTCTGGTACCAGAAACAATATAGCCACACTAAGTAGAAATCTGTGCTATCTGATACAACTTGTTTCATTAGGTTAACACAGTGTTATGGATTGGCTAGCAGGATCACATCACTTCTGGTATCCAAATTAACTCATGACAAGTAGCTTTATATATATTTAGGACAGCAGTAATTAACATAGAATCCTTCTTTTTTTCTTAAGTGAGTACAATGGTAGATCAGACCTTAAAATACAGTAACACCCAATTCATACAAAATTAAATCAACATGAGAAGTTGTGCCTTCAGATAAGGCAAATTTAAAATATAAATTTCTGCACACTGAAAGTGTTGAAAGCAGTGACAATTCAACTGAGACTAATAGCAATTAAAACAACCATAATTGCAATCTTTGAAAACTGCAGAAAGGGAGAAAGGATAATATGTCCAACAAATTCATATTCATCAGCTTAATGTTGTGCATGAATACTCCATTAGTAAGCCACAGGAAACATAGTTTTAGTAATGTTGTTTTCCCATGGCAGTTTTTGTCATTGTGTTTGAAATGATACAAGTTACAAAATCATCCACTGGACTGGCACCTCTCCTGGAATAAGCATCTGTAGCTCCATCAATTCCCAGTCTTCTACAAATGAGCAGTAAAGGTTTCTATCTAGAAGCTCACTGAAAGTCTCTAATACTTTTGGAAAAAACACCATAGCTGCTCCAATACTTTATTTTAGTAGCTGTTACTCTGCAGTTAATATTGCTTAATTAACCACAGAATGATGGAGTCTGGCATGCTGTAGAATTAAATTTCTGTGCAAGGCTCAAACTGTATTTCCAGATGCTGTTAAAGTGCATCAGCCATAGGATATTGCTCCACACCTCAGCTGAGACAAGAAATCACAGCCAGTGCTGCGGTTTTAGTATCAGGTCAGATAAGCAAGCTGAGCCCAGCCAGCAAAGGAGGTCTGAGACGACACAGCTGAACTCGTTTGTTAGTGGAATGGGACATGATCATGCAACCCCTTCTGCTACCTTTTTTTGAAGCATCAGTAATGTTGCGACAGGGTGTTAAGAAGCAACATGTGAGAGAAAGGGAAAGAAAGAAGAAAGCTCTTACATCATGTATGCACCACACTTTCAGGGGGACCTAATAGCTATGCTACGAAGTCCCATCACCGTTACATTTTAATAAATGCTAGAAGATCACAGATTTACAATAGTAACTTGGTACCTTACAAGAGTAACATTTGTGACACTCCGTCCCAAATCTTATTTTTCTCAAGACAGTGCTAGCAGACTCGTAGCTGGTTTTGCTACCTCATCAAAGCAAAGCTATCCCCATGAGCTCAGTGGGTAGGGATGATTGCATGTGGAACTTTGACACATTCTCCACTGTGTGAAAACACATCACATATGTTTTCTATTATTTTTAATGGCAGTCTCTCAGCTGTTTCTCATAGTAGTCAAAAATCTGCTCAGCTCCTGTTTAAAGCAGGAGCCTAGTCTGTATGCTAAGATTTTCTTTTAATTTTGTGGCAATGCTCTTCTCCAACCAGCTTCTGCGATGGGAAACAATTCCTGTCCTTTCAGGCACCTTCCACCCTTAAAGTAATACACAGACTAAGCATATTATTCAGAAAAGGAGGACACAGGAAATGCAGCTTGGCATGAAAAAGTCCTTTTTTACTCATGGGGACATGATGTTCAGTGCCAGCAGATGGGTTTGTGCCCAGAAACTGTAGGACAGGGTATGATGAATACACTTGCCTTTTGGCCTACCTGCATCAAACCAGTGACTGTATTGGGTAATGTGCTAGTTAGGGGTTAGGGAGCTTGTGTCCACAATTTTTGCTAAGCGTGCAAAGTTTATTTGATGTAATCCTTCTCTTACGGAAATCTTGATCTATAATTTTACTCAAATTTTACTCTTCAACTAGAAAGGGAACATGACTGTAAAGATACCAGAAACAAGAATATTCCATCCATACTGGAAATTCCACCTAAATTTTGTCCTGCATTAAGGATCAATGATTTAGTGGTTACATGTTTCTAAAAATGGCTAGATTCTTCAACTTTGCTTTTCCAAGCTAGAAATGGGAAATATGTTCTTCCCATAGTTTATGTTTCACAAGTTAAAAGAAAACAAAACAGAACAAAACAAAACACAAAAAACTCCCCTGTCCTTTCTGTCACTTTTCTGTTGTATTTTTATGACTATTTTATCGAGCAGAAGCAGCCACTCAAACCTTTAACTAAAGAATAAGTTAGGATCATAGAATCATAGAATCATTAGGGTTGGAAAGGACCTTAAGATCATATAGTTGCAACCCCTCTGCCGTGGGCAGGGACACCTTACGCTAAATCGTATCACCCAAGGCCTCGTCCAACCTGGCCTTGAGCACTGCCAGGGATGGAGCATTCACAACCTCCCCGCGCAACCTATTCCAGTGCCTCACCACCCTAACAGGAAAGAATTTCCTTCTTATATCCAACCTAAACTTCCCCTGTTTAAGTTTTAACCCATTCCCCTTGTCCTGTCACTACAGTCTCTAATGAAGAGTCCCTCCCCAGCATCCCTATAGGCCCCCTTCAGATACTGGAAGGCTGCTATGAGGTCTCCACGCAGTCTTCTCTTCTCCAGGCTGAACAGCTCCAACTTCCTCAGCCTGTCTTCATACAGGAGGTGCTCCAGTCCCCTGATCATCCTCGTGCCCCTCCTCTGGACTTGTTCCAACAGTTCCGTGTCCTTTTCATGTTGAGGACACCAGAACTGCACACAATACTCCAGGTGAGGTCTCACAAGAGCAGAATAGAGGGGCAGGATCACCTCCTTCGCCCTGCTGGTCACACTCCTTTTAATGCAGCCCAGGATATGGTTGGCTTTCTGGGCTGCAAGCGCACACTGCCTGCTCATGTTCATTTTCTCATCAACCAGCACCCCCAAGTCCTTCTCCGCAGGGCTGCTCTGAATCTCTTCTCTGCCCAACCTGTAGCTGTGCCTGGGATTGCTCCGACCCAAGTGTAGGACCTTGCACTTGGCATGGTTAAACCTCATGAGGTTGGCATCAGCCCACCTTACAAGCGTGTCGAGGTCCCTCTGGATGGCATTCCTTCCCTCCTGCGTATCAACCGAACCACACAGCTTGGTGTCATTGGCAAACTTGCTGAGGGCGCACTCAATCCCACTGTCCATGTCAGCGACAAAGATGTTAAACAAGACCAGTCCCAACACCGATCCCTGAGGGATGCCACTCGTTACTGATACCTATTTCTTAACTACTAAACTGGCATTTGGCGTGTTGGACTCATCTTTCATGTCTTCTGCAATTCAGAGGGAAATGTACTGTCTGGAGCTAGTGAGTGCTTACAATGAATCTTGTGAGATAACAGCATAAATACATCAGGGTAGATGGTATATCATAATATACTGGAAAGGATCTGATTATATATAGTTTGCCCTATGTTTAGTGGACCTGAAAAATGTGTGTGTTAATTATTTCTTCTGAATTTCTTCAGTTTCTTGACAAAACTTATGGTCCTGGTGTCGGGATAGAACATCCATATATTGGTAGGACATTGAGCACCACTTGGAGCTCCTGGATCTTGCAGTACATCTGGCTATACGAGTTCATCTTAACAGAGACTAAAAAAGTTACAAGGTTGTTTGAAAATATTTTATTCAGAGTTTAAACACATAACAATGCTGGGAAGACCCCCTGAAGCATTTCACAAAGAACTTTATTATATGCAAAACAGTACCATAATTGAAAAAAATAAAAGCAGGAGAGTAACAAGAAAGGTAACGAATTCTATACTTAAGCATATTTAATAATATTAAAATATTTAATTCCTCTAAAATAGCCAGTTAGTGTTGCAGTACTGGGTTTTGTACAAAATGTGATGCCGATATGGTTTTCTTGGAAGTGGAGGTATTCAAGGCCAGGTTGGACAGAGCCTTGGGTGACATGGTTTAGTGTGAGATGTCCCTGCCCATGGCAGGGGGGTTGGAACTAGATGATCTTATGGTCCTTTCCAACCCTAACTATTCTGTGATTCTATTCTATGATTCTATGACATATTTTAGTTATACTAAAGAGCAGCTTTTCACTATGTGAGATCAGTATTTGTGTTCAGGGTGAAAATGATCTAAGGATCCTTTTAGTCGTAGTTCATGTCATAGCAATTGTTCCTTAGTCCTACCCAGAAGACTTGTCTTTTTCCTCTTAGATCAAAACTTATGCTGGTGGAAGAAGCTGGTGTAATGGAAGAGTTAGCACTTCAGTCTAGAAAAGAAGATATTTCAGTTAATAAATAGAGATGCACTAAGTATATGAAAATAATGATTTTGGTGTGACCCTGACAGCATGTGACAGCATATATGTAATTCAGTATAATTTCAAACAAAATATAGTGATTCTGTCACTTTTAAAATACATATAGTTAAAAACAATTCTACAGAAATTTGCAAAATGGCATGTTCAAGATAACGAAAACAAATGCCAAAACACTGATGCTCCTTTGACAGTTTTACCAGCAGTAGTGTGGTTTTGCACATTGTGTATTCAACTGTAAGACCTCTTGGCCTTTTTCCACTTTACCTAGAAACAGATGTAAGATCTCTTAACATATTTTTTTTTTCTTTTAAATTACTATGGTATATTGACAAAAATTTCACTGGGAGCAGAAGTCACCATAACAAGCCCTTTTAGAAATGCATTCATTGTGTCATGAAATCCTGCATTTGCTAATTATCTTTCCTTAACTCTATTGCAGACCTTCAAATTAACAGCTATTGCAAACTATAAGCAAACAGTAGGTGCCTGACTTAATTAACTCTGACTCTGTGTGATGTGATTTGTATCTTGGTGTTGCTTGTGCTAAAAATGGGCACTGGTTTTCCTATGGCATATGGCTGTAATTCTTCAAAGGGCTGTGATATAGCAACTTTATAGAATACTTTATTGTTATTTGATGATTTAGTTATTGTTATGGCCTGCAGATCAGAAGACCTGCAAGCACCATGGCACAGCTAATGGAGTAATGCCAAACTAATTGCATTATTGTTTTGATTAAGACCTCCTATATATAACAAATAAAAAATATTAATAGGAATACCAGAACAGATTTGCTGTATGGCCTAAACAGAAACAGACTGCATGATCACATGGGTAGGATCTTCTGAAGGGCAGAATACCACTGCAGTCAAGGAAGAGATTTCTTATTTTCCCCTGCAAGGTTAAATTCTAATCCTAACCACTGTCCTCTCCCTGCACCACTGTGGCCATGCACAGTTACTTTCAGCTACTCAGGAGATGAAATTCAGCTGCTCAGCTGCGGGTATGGTTATACTTCTTTGCTGTCCTACTCCTGGTACAGTATCTACTTCATGAAAATTCTGGGGACACTGTGACAGCAATTAACACCAACAAAAACCTGCCAGCTTTCCAGGAGCCCTTCCGGACAGATAGATTTCATCCTCACTGTGGGGAGGAATATATAAAATAATAACAATGTTCTGTTTTGAAAGCACAAAGTCATGAAGAAGATCATTCACAAAAGACCAGTCTGGATCCAGGTGGCACACTCTGTCGATCATCTCTGCATCCTGCTTAACAGGAGGCATTCCAGTGTACCCACACATCTTTCAATTTATTACAAATTTGTAAAAATTTGGGGTTTTTTTTTGTTTTTTGATTTTTATTTTTTTTTGTATAATATACAGTTGTGAATGTCCCATCTTTTTCATCACTATGAAAAGACTTCTACATTTTGAGGCATAAAATGCTGCACAAACGTGTACACAAAAATAGTAATTTTCTTCAACATTTTGTTACAGAATGTGTGGTAAAGTCCATATCAGAAAATGTCATAGATAATAACTATCAACCAATTAACCAATAGTCATATCAATACTTAGAGTCACACCATGTTTTAATACCTGATGAATATTAATATTTTTTGGTTTTAATGGACTGTCTCCTCAGATGTTAAATTTGAAGGGAGGCAGTATACTTACCTTACGGTTGGCAGCTGTACTTTCTATTTTGAGTTGAGTCCTTACGGTCTTTGCAAAGTACCAAATGTTCCTATTTCCTATGAGAAGGGTTTCCAAATAAGCCTTTGGCAGTATTTCTGAACAAAATGGGACTGCTGCAGAAATAAACTGGCTTTGTGTCTCAAATCTCCATGGGGCTTATGAGGCAAAATGACTTCAGCAGAGAAAGTAGGTTAAAGCAAGGACAGACAGCCTCCTCAATGAACAGAGCTAGAAATAAGCACAGATACTCACCCCGTTCTGTACACTTAAGATTTAGTAGTTCTAAAAAAAGAGCACAGGTAAAAAAAGAATAAAATTACTAATGTTTATAAAAACATGTTCATTAACTCTTACTTGGATGAGTTGTCCTGTAAAACTGCCATGACTCAGCTGTAAACTGCCTTTGCTTTATAGACGTAATTTAAAATATCTGATTTGATATAATCTTAAAATTTGAAGGTAGTCTGTTTTTTGACATGAATGTTTTGACATGAATGAAAACTTTATTTGATTTTCTTTTTGGTGTGTGTTTCTGCCAATATGCATTAGCAGGCACTGGATGGTTAGGGTTTTTGTTCTGTTTTTGGAAGCACTGAATAGGTAATGTGCTTGTGTAAGGATAAATAGGATAATGAGTGTCTTGTTAATCAATTAAGACATTAAATAATTAATGTTTTAATCAAAAACCAATTCTAATTGGTTTGTTAGAATTTCTTCTTTCAGGGATGGACTCTCTAGAAATTAAAATATATTCTTAATTTTTCCCTACCTAATCAAATAGCTGTTGTTTTCCTCCATACCAGTTGTCAGCAACAATATGGATTTTGTCCCCTACCTTTTACCTATAGCTATTACTTCTGGAAATAATTTTGTAACATCCCTAATATATTATTCCACTGCTTTTCAGCTCCAGTTATGAATTACCTTTATTGGAGTTACTAATTTTTGACACTGAGTAGTTTTCATAGCTCCAAAATGTACTGATAATGTTTCTATCACTTCTGTGTCATGCTTTATAGTATCACTGTGTATCACTGTGGGAAATTAAATTCTAAGAACAGAAGCATCTTATTTTTCTGAGCTTTTCTCTCTTCTTTTTGTAATGAAACAGTGCCCCCAAGAGCCTTTATTTAGGAAGGGGTAGTTTAAGAAAATTAAGTCAATTAATGGTTCACCAGTATATTAATCCCTAAATATAAAAAATCTGCCAGGCATTGCAACCACAGATGTTGGTTTGAAGGACAGTCAAAAGGCAGTTTGGTTTGGTTTTCATATTTTATGCCCAATAATAGAAAGTTAACTTAATGACTAAATTCTTTTAATATGTTTGGAGACCTCTGCCTGCAGAGGACATCTTTGCTGGTATTCTGAAGAAAGGGAGAATGCGCTGTCTGCTAAGGCTGCAGAGCACTGCTGCTTAGTGAGTTTCTTTATTGGTGGGCTGGTTTTGCCCTTTGCGAATTGACATCAGGACAGCGGGCAGCAGTCCAGGAGGCAGCAGAAAGCACTGTTTGTTTGTTTGTGTGGATAAGCAGAGAAGAAAGATGGCATGAAGTGAAGAAGAACAAAGAGAAAACCAGGAAGAACTTTAGCTACAACAGAGTTATAAAATACAAATAATGAGCCTATTATGCATTTTTCCTAAACTACATGAAATACACATGAAAATAATCATGAATAGCCCCTAAATCTCACAGGGGCAGATATTTAAAGTGTTGAGAGTCATCACTACTTTTTCTGAGTAATACACAACAGTTGGTTGACAGCATCATGACTGTTGAAAAACTGAGGAATCATCATCACAGCATCTAGTAGATTCATCATCCTCAATGGAGAAATTTTTTGAAGAAAAATTCAGAAAGGAAAAAATGCCAGTTTACCTGTCAATTAGCCTTTACATTAAGAGATAGCATGAGGGAGAGGGGAAGGGTAAGAGAGAAAAAGCTTGAAAACAGGAAAGCATGCCACTTGGAAAGAAAAAAAAACAACCCTTCATTAATCATTACATTCAGTGCAGACTTGAATTGAATGTACTATTAGCAACACAGAGCACAAGAGGAATTGTAAATAAAATGAAAAGGGGGGGTTGGGGAAAATTAATCACTGGCTTCAGTCTGCAAACTAGCATTGTAATTGTATTTAATTATAATCCAAAACTGTATGAGATTACTCACCATATACAGACAGGACAATTAGGACTGTGGATCTTCCCAGGAAAGATGATACCCATTCCAATCTGACTCCTTGATACTATATTGATGTAGTTGTCTACAGAAAAGTAGCAATTTTTATGGTTAAATAAAAGGGTGTATACATCAGAGCAATGCTACAAGTTTTGCATGGGCACTAAACATTTACCTCTGATTAGCTCATTGTTGGGAGTGGCAAAAGGACTGGGAATTGTGGCTGATGGGCTGAGGTTGGGTTTGTGAGAAGAACAGCCAGGAGAAGTGGGCATGGCCCCTCATTTCTCCATAACGGTTGGTTTTCTTATGGGGTAACAGATCTTACCAGAAAGGAAAGCAAGAAAAGGATTACTATCAATGAACTCCACAGCAACGAAAACTATTTCAAAATAATTTAAAATGAAAGGTAGCAGTGTCTGCCTCACACAGCAGTTACCCTGTGCAGCAGTGACAAATTAAAATCCATGAAATGTAAAGGAAAAACTGCCTGTCCTGGCAGTCTTTTCATCAGTCTCATATACCACAGTCACTGACAGATGAGCTTTGCAGCATACTGTGATGTTTAGCAATACAGGCTGTTTTACACCAGAACTGAGGAGCTTGGGTTGTGTAAGTGCAAGGCTATGAAAGTCACTCACACATTCATGCACTTCAGCTGATTTTCCACTGCCCAGCTGAGACACCTTCTGGCTTCAGCAGGGTCCTTTGCCACTTGCTGAGCTAGTGACCCCCCTTGCTTTGCTCACTCCTTTTTACTCATTGCTGGTTCAAGGCAGCTGCCTCATCCACAGAAAAATAGTCTTTTCCCCTCCAATATTTCTTACACCACCCTGATGCCCTAATATTGTCTAAACCCTGAAAAACATTTACCACAAACAGAATTTTGGGTAATTCTATGTCTTTCTCACCATCCCGTTACATAGGTTGGCCATAAGTAGAAGTTTATAAGTGAAATTTTAAAAAGTACTTGTGAAAATAATTGCTTTAAATAATTTTCACTTATCTGTCACAGGAGCAGCTCAAGATTCCATCCACCACAGAAGGAGAAAATATAAATAGTAGGCATGGTCTCCCAAAATAGCCTGGTAATAGCTAATAGCTCTCTTTAGCAGAGCGATCCAATTTTCTCAGGTATACCTCAATTTAAAAACAGTGATTTCCATCCAGATTCTAGGTCACTGAAAGCTTTAGAAGTCAAAGCCAGTACTTTGAACTCTACCTGGACTCTATGCAGAGCATTTAAGAAAGATAAATAGGTGTAAAAGGCTTGTGATGTGATAAAATCTGTGCGAGAGCAGTAGTGCAGTAAACTAGATGATGTTGTTTAGATCAAACATGCAGCAGGTCAGAATGTGGTTATTTGAGTTGTACAGATCTGTGTGAACAAAGATAAGCATAAGAAAGAGAAAGTGCTATAAAACACACATACAAGAACTAAATCATAGCATTCCTAGATAATCCCAATTTACAAAGAATAAAGTATGTTCTCAGTCATTGGGGCAGCACCAAAATTAAGCTTAACTCTGTGACACATAGCTTTGTTCTCTGCATAGGAGATGTCTAGATACTGCAGCTTTCCTCAGCTTCATTACGCATTCACTAAATATTTTTACACGGAATTACAAACTGATTTTGGGTCACAGAGTGTGTCCATTCTTTATCTCACTGCACCTAATAATTATTCCTTGTTGTATTAGAATTACAACTAATTAGATTCCCTAATAATAATAAAAGAAACATGCTGTAATTTATCTGTTAAATGCATCTATGTAACTAATCTTTTAAAGTCTATATTGGCTTCTCAAATAAATGAAAATAAAGATCTACTTTCTTTATCACTATTTTATGGATTTTTATATAGCTTTGACACCACACTTTACAGTCTGATTGCCTCAGAACATCTCAGGGGTGGAAGAATAAACTCTACTCTGATAAAATTAAACAAGTACTCTTTAAAGGTTTAGGTGCCTTGTGTTAGTTACAGACACTTTGAGATCATTTGCTTGTGTTTTGTGCTTGATATAAGCACAGGAAAGCTGTAGTACTGCTAATCAGCGTGCCTTTTCACTAGACATTCAGTGCATTGCCTGCAATTCAGGGGATTGATTTTGTTCTGATTGATAAAATGACAGATTTCTGAGCTTTAGGAAATGTTTCACTACCTAACACTCATAAAAATAACTTGATGCATTTATTTTCTAACATTTAAAATTCAGCATTTGCCTTTAACTGGAAGTTTGTTCTTTTTATTATTAACCCAGTCAGATATGACGTTTGAACAGGTGTATTAATGAGCACAACATTTCATTTCCCAGTGCAGCAAATAGTTCTGCTGCTCTTGAAATTTCTTGCCCCTGACAACTGTAGTCAATATTTGCCAGCTTGAGGTGGTAATACCAAAATATGATCCCACACAGCCCATCACTTGCTGGTAGAGCAGCAATCTGCAAGCATGTATGTACTGTTGTTACTCCTGCTTGAAACTGTTATTTGGTTGAAGTCTGTGTGTCTGGGAGAGGAGATCTGTTTTTCTGTTGCTTTGGGGTTGATTTTTTTTTTTTTTTTTAGCAATATTTGTAACCAATTTCCTCATCTATAGGAGAAATTTCTACTTCAAATTAGAAGTAATTTCAACTGCAAGTGAAGGCACTAATTTTTCCCTTTCTTGATTTGATTTCTGTGTAACTGTAAACTCACCAAAGAGAAAATGTTGTGGAATAAGGAAGATAATGGATGGTTTTATAACTGGAGTAGAGTGAATTTTACAATACATGGGAAAAAAGTGACCTCTGTTCAGAAGCCTCTCTGCTCATTAGCAGATGGCTGTGGTTTAATAATTCTACTGTGGCCCAAAGAAGGAATCAAATTAGATGTGTGAAGCTGTCATTACTCTGTGTGTTCCTCTGTTTAGTTCCAGCTTAAAGCATGTCATTCCTTTCATAGCAGCCACTCAGATTACTGTATCTCATCCTTTCCACATCAAAGTGCTGTCAGCACTTTTATAGTATAAAAAGGACGCAGAGATAATTTTACAATACATTCTCTTCAAGCAGCATTGACTTGTACACTTACAACATTTCTTTTTGGTCTGGGATTTGCAAAAGAAGATGACTAAAATGAGTAGCATCTTAAAACTGAATAAAACCAGGAACAGAAATATCTATTTAAAATTGGACCAGTGCACCACTGAGGGAATGGTGGGATTTCAGACAGTCAGTTCTTCTCAAGTGCTGTCTGAATTATGTTTCAGTCAATAACAACCATCGTGAGTGTGGAAACATGTCTATTCTTTGGAAAACATGGATCATCTCTTTTTTTTTTTTTTTTTACTAAATTAAAAAATACCCTAAAATGTCTTTAGTGAAATATATAGTAAGTCAGGTCCTAATTCCAACATACCAAAGACATAGCCTCAGCTAGTAACCAGTGCATAGACAGCCTGGCTTGCTGTGTTGACCTTATTGCTCTATGACAAAGTAAAGAAGGAAAGAAAAAGAATACAGGACAAAAGGAGTGAAAGGCAGCAGAAAGACACAACTTTGTAGGACTGGCTTTGACTTTGTGGACTTTCTTTAAATCCACTCTGCCAAGAGCTGTGCTTTCTTCATAGATGCTCATTATGAAGCTATACATATATAATTTGTAAATGTATGCACTGTATTTCCTAGCCATGTTTGTCATTTACCAGCATCTATAGAAGAGGTCGTCACAGAACTGAGCAAAGGCCAGGGACAGAAAACAGAACTGTGAAAAGCTGATAGATGAACTTCAAAAGGGAAGGCAGCCTGTGTGTTGGCAAGCAGATGAGCAATTTATGTGGTTCATCTGCCCATCTCCCATTTCAGGTATTCTCAACAGCTGGGCTTGGAAGTGATATGATGTAGGACTTAGCCTTTTTTCAGCTGGTAGAAGGATAAAGGTTTTAGATCTTACTATGTCGTTGGAGCTAAACTGTGCTTACTACAGTCAGTTTTTTTGAAAGGAACAACATACTTAGGTTTTCTGATATTCTTCCTGCTGTTTTCTACATAGGCAAGTAATAATGTAACAAGCTCTGGAGTTTCAGGAGGATGTGGTATACCATTTTCAGAAGAGCTGGGGATCTTAGTCATGCAATGGCAGTTGAAGGCAACACAACACAGAGGAAGAATTCTGGGCAGGACAGACCTAGCTACTGCCACACAAAGGATAAAGCTTGATCAGCAGGCAGGAATTGTATGTTTCTTGTATAGAGAAATTCTAGAACTTGGTTTTATCTCAGATTTCAAAGAATTCAGATTTTATTTTTTTTTCTTGTTTACAACAGGGAATGGAACTACAAATCAATAAATAATTACCAAAGCAAAGCATGTAATTTTCAAGGTTATAATACATTATAATACATTATTTTTTTTCAAAATTAAAAAGCAAAGTATAGCTGTGAAATAAGGTGAACATGCTCCCGTGAAAGCATAAAGTTCAATGAGAGGAAAAGTGAATATTTGGATAATTCATTTTTTGAAATTGATGGCAAAACCATTCTGAAATCATGGGAATAAAAGTTCAGGTCTACATATATTATGTTTGTCAGATCCGTCTCTATCTAAATACTGAGCACCTTTGTCTCAGAATTTTGAAAGACTGCTCAGGTGTATTACGAAAGATTTGCAGTCAAAACTATTTCTTCCTTCCTCAGTCATCTTTTGCATTCATGAAGAGCCAAGGACACACTAGTGACAATCATATGCTAATAAGATAAGGGAGCAAAAGGACAAACACTTAATAATACTGTTTCATCTTACACAGAGGTCACAAACTGTTCTTAGTTAATGTCAATGTAAATCTGGAGAAGCTCAGCTGAGCTCAATGGACTTACTCAGGCCTGAAATCAATTATTACACTGGTGTGAGGTGGAGCCCAGCTCATCGGCCGGGTTCTGGCATTGAGATGCAAATGGCAACCGCAGGGAACAGCAGAGCATTGCCCAGGCATCTCAGAGCCAGTCCTGGCCACCCAGTGCTCCTTGGCACTACTCGTGCAGAACAGGCGAGCAACAATGCTGGGGCGTGCCTGGGTGCTGCATCTCATGTAGCTACATGGCCAAGGAGCAAAGAGGGAGAGATTCAATCGAAGTCAGTAATTGTCATGCAGCCATGCAAGAATAGAAACAAAATGCAGCTTAAATACTCCTGCCACAGCTCAGCCCCCATGATTATGATTCTCATAACCAGAGTAGTAGCTGTGGTGCCCATTTTTCCATTTCAGTCTCTGACATCTGTGGGCACTGGCACTGAAACAGACCCCACTGGGATGCCTGGAAGGCAGTGCTGTCCCAGGTTACTGACAGGATATATCAGTTTAGATAAACTGATGCTTCCTGACACCCACCCTGGGAGAGCCACCTTGCAGGAACAGGCTGCAAGCATACACCACAAAGTCCTTTTCCATCTCCTTCCTGTGTTTTACCTCCTACTGCCAACCAACAAGCAATTAAAAATGTGAAGTAATATGTTGTACCAGTTTAAAAATTACACTTCCCACACTATGTGTCATTGTATCACTTTTAAAACAAGGAATTTAACCCAAAGTTGCACATATCTGTACACATATGCACATATGTACACATAGTGGTACCCCAGTAGCACAACGGGATATTCCAGGGGTAGGGATCTGCAGATGTTCTTGAAACCCCGTTCCCAGGGAGCCTGCTTTCCAGCTTGCATTAGCTTTAATAAAATGCAGAGGAGCTTAAGGGTTTTGTTTCTTTTGCCATATCTGTGTTTTCCCACACTATTGTTCTATATAAAACAGAATAACATTGAAATAGATTTTTTTATCCTTGGTGATATTTATCCTCTAGCGATTTTTCCCCTCTAGTAGCTGATGTAAGTAAATGTGAACAGCGGAAGTATTGATCAAGCAGGTAATTCTGAAAGCAAAGAATGACATAAAATTTAACAAGCAAACTAATCTTCCATTTCTTTTTGTTCAGTATTTATTACCATTATTTAGTGCAGTTTACCTTTCTGCAGTTGTTACGCTACAATTGGCAAATCTGGGAAAAAAAGAGTAAATCACAGAATGGTTTGGGTTGGAAGGGACCTTAAAGATCATCAACTTAATATATAATAAATAAATAAACACATAAAACCCTGACAAACCCCTTGATCTATGACAATCATAGGATAAAGGCTCATATGGAAGGGATCAACAATAATTTGATTTTTTATAGTGAAAGTTTCTTTTTCCCCATTTAACTCCCTACTTTAAGCTCCATATGACTTTTCAAGCTGTCGTCATACCCACATGATATTGATATACTGCTACTAAAAATGAGGGTGATCATTTTCTTCATTCATAGCACTTCTAGACAACCTGTAACAAACAACTATGCTCTGCCCACTAGCTATGTAAAATATATTCATTGTAAGTGCAAAAGAGAAATCTTCCAACTCCTATATTATCACCTCTTTATTAAGCTCTTGAAGTTAAAAGATTTAATATGGAGTATAAAGATACCAAATTAAAACCAGTGTTTCAGGCAACATCCTGTGTTGGTGAGAATTACGTCTCTTTGATGAATACAGGCCTCAGAGCTGATGAGAATCAGGGTAAGAAATGATCACCTCTGCTCCAGCCCTCAATCCCTGGAACATCCAGAGGGTTCTCTGGGCAAAGGCTGAGAAGGGCAGGGATTTGTCACTCTACTAGGTTAAAGCCCCAGACATAAGAAGGAAGATAGTTACTAGAGTCTCCAAGAACTGAAGAGTGGTTGGGGCCAATAGGTCAGAACAAAGGAATTTTCTTCACATCAGTCTTACAGAGCGAAATTACATGAATTAGTAAAGAACGATACTGAGGGCACTGAAGATAGAAAGTGTTATGTTTCTAGTTATGGGGTGTAAGAGGCTGCATCACAGTCATGCGTGCAGTAGATGTTGTCACGCTGTGGGCCATATGCTTTTAAGTTTCTCAGGAATTAATAAAGTCATGACTCTGCTTCTTCCAACCTCCCCCACAGGTCAGCCGGATTATGGGGTGTGTTGCCCTCGTGTGCTCTCACACAGCGGTGATACTTTGAAAATGAAGTCTAAATACATCTTCTTCTCACAGGGAACACATTTTAATTCTACCAAAAAGTATCAAGACAGACTGTACACAGCAGCTTTGAGATGCAAATATCCTAGCTGTGACTAGTGAGCTAATCAGACTGCGCAGGAGGCAGACAAGTGGAATTCCAGTTTTATATATGGGCACACACTAAACAGTTTTTAGGTATTGTGATCTAGCTAACCTCATTCCTGCAGAGCATCAATCCATCAATCACCTGCCAGATCTATAGCATTTATTTTCTCTTGCTAGCCACAAATCTGAGACAGTCCTGATACATGTCAGTCAAACTTCCAGAAATACCATTCATCGTCCTCGCCACTGAGTGTATTGACACGTATAAATATATATACCCTATACATAACTAAGTGATAGCCTGATTAGTTACTTATCTGAGGGCTCTTGTAGTGGTTAGAAGTAAGAAATGAATACCGCATTTAGGGTCTTATGCTAAGCTGCTGAGTCACCTTATTTTCTGCGGACTTCAGTAAGGAATGGAGAACAAAAGCCGCTCACAGAATGGTGTCTGTAGGGAGAAGCGTTGTCTCATGACAGCCAGCAGAGCTACACTGTCAGTGGGGACAGCTTCTGTGCTCACTATACATCTAATATCACTCAAGTGACATTACTCAGAATATTAAATAGTGCTAGTATTTCGGAATAGAAGGGCATTGCTGTTGCCAAGTTCTGCACTTATACTTGCTGAAATAAAAGCCATGATAGAATATATATATAAATTCATTTCCTCTGTTACTATGGTGATTAGTCTTAAAAGGTACTATAACAAACATGATGAGTAACAATTATTCCATGTAAAAACCAAACAAACAAACCGCTTGCTCTAGTTCCCCTGAAATGTCAAGCAATTCTGACTGGAACAGGAGCTACCTGCTAAGAACAGTGGATTAATATGATGAAGCTGGAGGGTGTCTGCTTTATAGAATTAAACCTTTATAGAATTAATGAATTAACAAAACCCCCCAGCACTGATGATAATGATAAGCTTGCTTTACTTAAATTAGCTTCTATGAGAAATCACTGAAAAAAGAGGCTTTTACAATTCATTTTTTTTTTAACTGGAGTATGCTCATGGTGTTAAAAGCATGAATGTATAAAAGCAGTGAATTGTAACTCTTTAATGTTGACCTTCTTTTGATAACTCAGCTTTGGCATAGCCTCTGCTTTTAAATGAGAGCACTCAGCTTGTGCTGCTGGCTTAAATTCACTGTATGGCTAGCGAGCTTCAGCAGGTTTAGTGCTTTTCTACTTTAGACCTGTATGACTTTTTCCTCCCCAAAGAAGTAAATTATTTATAAAGCACCAACCTTTTTTAACCCAGCTTCTGACAGGCTGGGATTTTTCCAATCTCAGTTGAAACTGTCTAAATAATTTATCAAGTATTCTTTCAAAGTACAATGAATTCTGAAACCTAAGAAATGTTAAATGGGATTCTTTGCCCTTCTAGTGTGAGTGGGTTACTAAGGTTAAGCTAATATTTTCTTTGAACTTTTCTCAGTCCTGTTTCCTCCCACTGTATATAGAGTTCCCTTTTTCTCTCCTACCGTCTATGTATTCATTTTCATGACATTTTCTATTTATCAGACTTTTCCTTTGTGTTTCTCTGTCTCTTGCTAACTCTTCCCTTACAGAAGAGTCTTCCTATACCTCACCTTAGTTACAGTAAGACAGCTGTCCCTTTAAATGGTCCTTGAGATAGAAAAAACATTAATATCTGTGTCCCAAGCTGTACAGGCAGTATCAGTCCAGTCAAATGTCCTCAGTGTTTTCAGCCCAGCCTCAAATTCAACAAAACCTTCTCCCATCCCCATAAAGAAAACAGTGATGAATTATAAAATCATGGAATAGTTTGGGTTAGAAAGGATCTTTAAAGGTCATCTGGTACAACCCCCTGGCAATGAGCAGAGACATCTTCAACTAGACCAGGTTGCTCAGAGCCTCATCTAGCCTGACATTGGATGTTTCCAGGGATGAAGCATCTACCACTTCTCTGGGCAACCTGTATCAGTGCTTCAGCATCCTCATCATAAAGAATTTCTTCCTATGTCCAGTCTAAAGCTAGCCTCT